CAGCAGGTGTATGACCTGGAGGAACTCTTACCATATGGTGATAAAGTGATTTGATGTCTGTTCATTATCGACGTGTAAACGAAGACCTGAAGAGGGCCACAAAAATTCCAGCCCGTGTTTTAAATTTTCTCAACAATTGTTGAGGTTAACGCACGTGAGATCTGATCTCCAAAAAAAGAAATGAATAAAATATTGAGTTCATCAATTAAAGAAGTGTCGAAGAAAATCCGATCGAAAGAGTTGAAGCCATCAGATCTTCACAGAGCGTCATGCAATTTAATCTCTTCAACGAAAGCTCTCAATGCATATATCCACACAACAGAAAACATTGGAACACATCAAGCAGTTGCATCGGACACTCGACAAAATGATAACAAATTACTGGGAGATCTCGATGGGATTCCAATAGCGATAAAGGATAATTTTTGTGTCGAAGGTGAGCCCACGACATGTGCCTCTCTGATGCTCGCCAATTTTGTCCCAGGATATTCGGCAACAGTTTATGAAAGATTAAAGTCCAATGGAGTTGTCCTGATGGGAAAGACAAATCTAGATCAATTTGCCATGGGTGCAGGAACCGTTGACTCTTATTTTGGTTCTACAAGGAATATTTGGGGTTCGGAGATCATGGAAAATTACACCTTAAATGGTCCAGTAATTCCAGAAGGAATTAAAAATCGAACCAATAGTGATTGGTACATTGCAGGTGATTCTTCATTTTTAGTAACTAATGAATTTCACATCGTTATTTGAATTTTATAGCGAATCTAGTAGACTTCTAATCCCAATCAATTGTACTTTAACGTAAAGCGATTATTTATAAATTTGGTATTTTTCAATAAACGGTTTCTATATCGAAAACTAGAGCGCACCTTTTTTATTTGAAACAAAACTTATGTTATTGCTCCAGAAAATGTAGTATTTTCTCTCGGTGTAGATCTCTCAATGCTTTTATCTTCATCCTATTATCTTCGCACTTTATGGAAGCAATAAACTAATGAATAAGCGGATAATTCCATGATTGATAGGGAGGAGGAGTCTACCATCGCTCTATCAATATAATACACAGTATATTACGGTATTACAGTCTCAACATGTCTATGTTCAACTCTGAAGAAAAAATCTGTAATTCTAGGAGGGAGTAGTGGAGGTTCAGCAATAGCAGTAGCAACAGGCACCTGTTTCGCAGCAATAGGTTCAGACACTGGTGGCTCCACTCGTAATCCAGCCTCATACTGTGGTTTAATAGGTTTCAAACCGAGTTATGGTTTAGTATCTCGTTACGGACTCATTCCCCTGGTAAATTCCATGGACGTCCCTGGGATTCTCAGCAGAAACGTTGAAGATTGTCTTGAAATCCTCAATTCCATTGCAGGCCCTGATGAAAAAGACTCAACGACTGTCGATCGATCCTTCAAATCCATAAATCTGTCCTCTGCTGATCTTAGAAGTCTTCGAATTGGAATTCCAAAGGAGTACTCACATCCAGACCTCGATGAGGAGGTCTTAAACTGCTGGAAGAGAGTCAGCAATTTACTGGAGGAAGCTGGAGCCACGGTAGTGCCAGTGTCTCTCCCCCACACTGAATATTCAATTGTCTGTTACTCAATTCTAAATCAATGCGAGGTTGCAAGCAATATGGCGAGGTACGATGGCTTGGAATACGGTCTTAGACCTATAGAGATGTCATCCACTGAACAATTGTTCGCCGAAGCAAGAAGCATGGGCTTTAACGACGTCGTGAGGAGCAGAATTCTCACAGGAAACTACTTCTTACTCACCGAGAATTATGACGACTATTTCGTGAAAGCCATGAAGCTTCGCAGATTAATCTCTGAGGATTTTCACAGAGTTTGGGAGGAGAATGTTGATCTCTTGTTGACCCCTACGACTCTGAGTGATGCTCCTAGTTTCAAGGAATTCACTGCCCAGGATAATCAGACCCAGTGCTCGATTCAAGACTACTGCACTCAACCAGCCAATATGGCAGGTATTCCAGCAATTAATTTACCTGTAACTGTATCCTCTAGAGGTCTGCCAATTTCTGTGCAGCTCATGACTTCTTTCATGGAAGATGAAAGACTATTCGCTGTTGCTAAGTGTATCGAAGATGCTGTACAATTTCCCAGATTACAGTTGAAGAATTCAGAGTTGCTGGATTAATCATTTTTCATTCGTTCATTTCGGGGGTGAAGGGAGACAGTAGAAAAAAATTGTTGGAAAATTCATTTTCTGTTTTGGGAGATTGTCCCAGAATGATTTGCAATTCTCACTGCATGGTTTGTAAATAAATTTATTTATTTATTGGAATTGAGATTTTGATATTCATTACCGGAGGGAAATTGACGGGAGTTGAATTTCCAGTTGAGGAAGGCGAAGGCTTTTTCTAATTGTATACTGAATAAATGATTATTGGTATGTTTGAATTATCAATCGTAAATTGCTTATGTTAATCGTTGCGGTTGTGTTGATGCAAGTGTGTTTATTAACTTTTCATCGTGCGTGTCACGGGAATTGTATTGAAATTTATTCATTTCCTATGGTGACCGGTGTACTCAGGCTGATTAATGATTTGCAGAGCGTGATAGCTTCGTCAGTGAAGGGTGAGTAATACACTGTTTTCATTATTTATTGAAAAAGCGAATGTGAAATGAAAAAAGTGTTGATACAAAATATAAATGTGAAATGGTGGGAACATTTCGTCAATACCTGGAGAGCTTCTCCATTTATTATTTATGTTTGTATTGAATTGTTTATTTTTATTTGATAAAATTTTACCCGGGATTTCGCAAATATAATTCTTTCCATTATTTGTGTTCCTGTTATTCAATTAACAATTGAACTCCAAATTATAAAAACATTTTTTGTTAAGGAAGTCCACGCACTGCCAGTGCAAAAATTAATAATCATAATCTTTTCCTGAATTAATTTCTACGTGACCCACAATTTTTTTCCCAGTCGCAAGTCGAAACAGTCACGAAGAATTCCCGGAAAACTCAATAATTTCTAGTCCAAACGCGGACTGACGTTCTTCCCAATTCTTCTCTGTTTTCTTTCCCCGAAAATTGTTAACATGTCTGACCGTACAATTGTCAAACTACTCCGACCGCAGTGAATTCTCCAGCGATAAATAATTTCCCGTGGATATTCTTCCCGAAAACTAACCCTCGTCTCGACAAAACTTTAAAGTTGAGGAGTTTGCATTTGAAAGTTGCCAGTCCAACTCCATCCCCTTCCGTTCTGTATCTACACTAAAACTACACTAAAACAATGTCGCGTAAGTAACAAAACAATACGCTGTCAGTGGATTTTCCCTCGTCCACGGAAGTCCGTGAAATTCAATAGTTTTTTTTTTTCCTCTTCTCTGGACAAGAGAAGACTGACAAAATAGACATTGGAAAGTTTGATTGTGAAAATACGCGTTTGTATTTTATGAATGATGCAGAGTGATGGAAAATAGGGTTGGGCAGACAATAGTTTGGGCGCATGCGTGAGACCCAGCCCCCGGGGGTCTTTTTGACTTGCTCTTTTCACTTGGATCAGTCATCGGGTCGACGTAAAGGCCGACGGATCTCCCACTATTTTTTATGCCATCAATAAAGGTAAACATTCAGATGCCTCTAATACCGTGACAGTGTATGTGGTTTACTGTGTCTTGACTGCCATCTCCATTTTTAACCCCTTTTTTTGGAGATAGTAGCGCTTGCGTGACCTTGATGTGCATTTTCCTGAGGGAAAATTTGCATTGTATAAGAAATAATTGTCGTCAGATCTTCCGGAGGATCTCGTGCGTGTTTGGTTCTTGTGGGGGTGTTAATGCACACCTGACTTTACGTTGATACTCATCACTTGGCTTTTGAAGGCTTGCCTCAGATTTTTCCGAGTCTTTATCCAGAGGCTATTTCCAGGGCAACGTGCTCACATCCACGAGGAGCTAAAGGTGCGTGATATCGTTATTATCTGTGGGTATTATTAGATTTTATTGGAGGGGGGAGGGAAAATGTTGCAGGAAAAGGTTGAAAGGATTTTGATGATAACCTTTGGCAGTGGTTCAATTGGAAATTATTTTTTTTCTTTAATGGTGATGGATATGATATAAATAGATAATATAATATTAATAATAAGCTGCAGGAAATTTGGAGAACGGTTTTTTTTGTTTATTCAATTTTGGAATATTGGAAGTGGTGGAATATTTCCAAAGTTTTGGAAGGATCTGGAAAAAGAATTGTACATTAAACGAAAAAATGGTTTTGGTATTTAGTTCTTTAAATAAAAAATTCTGAAAATTAAGAAAAAAGTAAGTTAATGGTCGCCATAATGATTATATTGTATGAGATTTTTTATTGCTCCTGGGACTTTGAAATGATGAAATACCAGCATTTTTTTCGTCAATTAAACTACACCACATCTAATTTAACGCCCACATTTTCGAGGCAGTTAAGTGTCAGCATTAATCAGCAATTGTTCTCATTTTTTCCGGGCGTTGAAAACCTGAAGATTTCTCGAATTATTTTCATTCCTCAAGTTTCTTCCTTAAAGATTTTGAGGAGTGCAATACCGTGGATCTATCAGTATGATTATTTTCTTCAATTATGGAATGATCGCAGAAATTGTCTCTAATTATTTATTGGATTGTTCTTGTGCGATAACATTGATTCTAGGCCGATGGAAGATGGGATTGTTTTGGGGTACCACAGAAGACATTTGTGGGGTTCAATGGAGTCACAGGGATGTCTCGTTTCCTTACAATTATTGCCAAGTGGAATCTCCGATCGTTCGATAGATTATTCTATGAGCCAATACCGTGTTTTAACGGTAATTGCCTCAAGTACTATCAGGAATAGTGTCTTGAGAGGAAAATAAAGCTTGAAAATTATTAGAAATGATTAAAAATCATTAGAAATCATTATTCCTCCGATCTGCATTTCATGAAGCATTTCATCAGAATTTCTTTTTTTTTTCTCTACCACAATTTAATTCGATGATAATGATTCAGGGAATTATTGATTGTAGAGGAGAATATGAAACAAATTTAATAGTTAATTGAATTAATTACTGATATATTATTCTTATATTTTCATTTCAAATCGATAGTATTCGAGGGGAATCGATCATTGAGGAGAATTTTTCTCACTTCGATATTGTATGAACCATTTTTATGGTTAAATTACGCTAGGTTTTTTTTTATTCAGTTGTAATCAATATCAAGAATAATGCAGGGATTTTCGAATGAATTGCACTGAATTTCGCAACAGATTTCGTTATAACTCGATCGGGTCTCGACGGGGTACCTAAAATGGCACTCGAAATTCGTTATTCGCTTTTTTTTTCAATTGTATGCAACTGGGGTACATTAAATCACTCGGGATCAATATTTCACAGCTTACACAAAGCAAAAAAGGGTTTTTATTCAAAGTACATATCGTTTTTATGTCCATTACTCTAGAAATTTCAATCAATCAGTCAATGACAATTCAGTTCTCATCAATTTTGTTGTAAAATTCTGAATCTTTAAGTTTTATTTCTCCATAACCATTGATAAAAATCGAAAAAACTCTGGTCAATGTAAAATTAAATATTCATGTCCTCAACAAACATTCAAATTAATTGAAGAATTTTCCAATAGAATTTCCTCCAATATTAAAGATCTAATGACTTTGTCACCAGAATTCGATTATTCCTATTTTTTATTAATTCCGTGCATAAAAAAATATTTATAAAACACAGATTTTGTTTTTTTCAACATGAGTTGAACGAAGTTCAGATATTTTTAAAAAATCCAATTTTTCTCCGGTAACTTCAAAGTTTTGAATCAATTCACTAGAATTTTCCGGACGACTGACATTTAATTATCGCGTGGCATTTAAAAACTGAAGTTTTCCCGTAAAACTGCAGTTTTAATTAAACGAAAGGGTGTACTCAAGTGGTGGACTTGAATAAACATTACAAAGAGTCATGATAAGAGGGTGTTGATGCAATGGGCCTCAAAGGGATGCATTGAATGCTAAAGCTGTACTTTGAAAAGAGGGAAAGGTCCCTTCGTACTGATAGCAGAGTGGGGATTTATCGAGGACCCGTCTGCACTTGCAGAATAGCATTATAATCTCACCGAGCCGATTGCGTAATTCCCACCGGTGCTTCATTTCCATCTCTCACTTCCATACCCAGAAAATACTATCGATCCACACCCTCCAATCACCATTTTCCTCTCATTGGGCACTTCTCTCAAGAAATTCGCCAATCATTTTACCCATCTGATTCGAAAATCACATTTTATGAAATATCCTGGCTTAAATTCGTCTATTCCATCCCATTCCTTGCCAGGAATGGGAAATACTGAAATGAATGAAATACTGTTTTCTCTGTTTTCTGTTGAATTTTTATTGTTCATAAAAATCTCGATGAAAACGACTAAAACTATTCTGCAAATATTTAAATGGATTGAAACTTTCAAGTGTAAATAATCGCCATGATGTTAACATTTCTCGTTTCAAAATCGGAAGAATAAAATACAAAGTTACTATAACAACTATGGAGTCTACCGAGATATCACGAAGCAGGTGAGTGGCCTCTGAAAATAAACGAAATCCCCGAAACAGTACGAGTGTATGACAGAATTGAATAAAACAGCTTTACGATTGATATAAACTGTTGAACTGGATGCTGTACACAAGTGCCACGTAGAAACGCGCGATAGTGAATCGCAGCGAAGAGTCTGAAAGGGATAATACCACTCGTAAATCCTGCTTTCTTTGTACGAAACTCAATGCACTCCGGTTCCACTGCAAATGTAACAAAACTCCAAGCATTATATGATTTTTATAGTTTCGAAATAAGTCTCAAACCCTAACCCGTAATTATCATCAATTTTTACGGTTATGATCTCATTTTGCCGTTCATATTGCATTATTACACGAACAAAATAGTGTTGTAAAAGATCTCGACATAGAAATAGCCACTATGCCCTAACAATAAGGATAGTAACGCAATTACAATCACTATGCTATCAGAAATAATTGATATAATTAACAATTATTACGATGCTAAGCTACTATCGTCACTATTTTTACACAGTAACCGGTACTATGCTGGTGTAGTATTTAAGTTAAGCTACTATCGTCACTATTTTCACATAGTAACTGCTAGTGTGCTGAAATAGTATTTAAGCTAAACTACTATCGTCACTATTTTGACATTTTCACTAAACTATTGACTATTGACTAACTTTTGACTATTATCACAAAAAAATAGGCTACAATGATGAAAATCATGCGTTAGTGCTAACATAGTGACTATTACTATGTCGATGTCGTAACCGTTAGCTCCACTATTTGACAATCTGTCAGTATAGTAATCCTTACTGGATCATGTAATGATTATGATGTTCGCATATTCCTCACTATTATCTCAATATAGTAATTACTATGCTATCGGCATAGTAATGGTTATGATTTCAACATAGTAATTATTACTATCTCCATAATGACCCTTCGCCATTGAAAAGCTCCAATGCTAACCCTAACTATAATTAATAACTAACTACTAACTACTATTATCATTCTCTTAGCGTTTATTTGGATATATAATTGTACTTGATGAATTTATTCGTTATTAATTACGAGTACCGGAAGTGGAGGCTGAAAAAAGTTATATTCTCTCCGGAAAGGGGTTTTCCGCTTTATTTTTATTTCTTACTTATGGTGGAGTTATGCTGGTTGACATTGGATGACGTCAAGGTTAGATATGGGAACGAATAGTGTCTCTGTATCACTGTGGAGAATCAAATACAAACCAACATCCGGGCTCCCGCGTAATTATGACTGGCGTCACTAGTTTTGGAGGGGGATGCCATGCAAACTGGATAATATGGGACACTCCAGTTTGTTACTTGATGCTTCAAGTTCCTTCATTTCATTCCAGTTAAGTGACAAAACGTGACATCATTAGTCATCCTTCGACCTCTCTGTACAAATACAGTCGATACTATGCGATTACTCCCAAAATTATGAAAGTTGGACACTTTTTTTAATAGTGTACTACTATACGTACTCTAATGATATCATTTATCAGTGCTGGGCTAGATTACGGCTTTAAGGACTTCATGCGTTACTAGTTATTGAATTACTGAATTAGATTATTGTGTTATTGAATACGGAATTCATAGTGAAGTTCAGTTTGACGTTTGTGGGGAAGAAAACATTTGCTCACTATATTTATTTGGCAGAAGTGATTTTTTAGTTTGATAGTGTTGTGAAAAAATGATTGGCAGAGCAGAAATTTTATTTTGTGGAGAGAATTTCTGGGAAGATGAGGAAATCTCTACTATTGTGTCAGGATAACTCTAACTATTAACCTGCCCTCGTCCGTTTTTGCAGTTTTTTCTCTGGTTAAAAATTTTTTTAACGGAATTTTGTGATTTTTGGTGGTGAAATGTTAATTGTTTTTGTGGAGAATACTCTGGTTCCCTGGACAAGATGGCTGATGTGGCACTTTTACGCTAATTTATTGTCACTCGGTGAGTTTATAAAATTCGTGACAGTTAAATCGATGGGGTAGAGTTGAGGAAGTTTCCCGGGCAATTCAGGCGTTTGTCATAATTTGTGCATGACTGAAACGATAATTTGCGTTCCGTCATTAATCATATGCAATTACATGACATTGGGAAAGCAGAGTGATGGCTATAGCTCTCCAAGTCAGGTAATGCCGGCATGATTGTGATTAGGGTTTAATTAATGAGATAACGGGAATGGATATGGCTCTCTACGCGATGATAAAAAACCGACGGCTTTTTTGCGGGAAAATTGAATTTATTTATCAATCCGTGTACATTTTTTGCTATTCACATTCGCTGATACTTCCATAAATTATAACCCGTGGGAATGTTAATATTAACATTTAATTAACTGGAGAATCTACAAAAATAATTACCTAAATCTCCCCTACTCTCACTGATTGCTACAAAAATTTAGTAATTAAAAATCTATTAAATATTATATATTGAGATATAAATAATTGAGTTAAATTTCATAGAGATCCACGCGGAGAGCAAAATCTCCCAAAAATTACGAAGCGAATCTGAATTTCTTCTTTTCACTCGGTAAAAATGTCCGGTTCTCATTGCAATAACGTAACAAGCGGACGCAGATGATTGAAAAATGAATGAGAATGACTGGGAGAATATTTGTCGACCAGATGGGAAGAAAAGCAATAAAAAATGGGAGAATTGTGGGAATGAAGAACGAGAAAGTGAAGAGCGTAACGGAGTTGCACTCTTGAAGACTCAGTACTTCTCTTAGCATCTCAAAGTTCTAATTAGACTTTTGCCTTCTCGAAAAAATAGCTCATTTCATCTAGTCTTGATTGGTTCCTCTATTTCAAGAAAGAGAAACGCCTAATTGCGGAGAGTCCTTACGCCAGTGCTCTTCATAATGATTTCGCTCAGAATGTCTTTCTGGTTTATTCCATCTTTTTAATGAGAAGATTCGACAATATTTGGGTTAGTGCGCTAATTTTATCTAGTTATTCCTCTATCATTCTAGTTGCATCCGTGTTTTATTTTTTTTTTTGTAATTGTATGGGTGTTGTCAGGAAAAAGTGGGTCGGCACTTCCGGTTCATATTCTGAGTTGCTTCCGTGTGCGTTATGTTCGATCAGACACGTCATCATAATACGGAACCCCTCGAGTTTTCGTTGTAGAAATAAAGGATAAATAAATACGCGGAAAAATGTCAGGAAAAATTATTACATTTCAACACTGAAAATATCATTTTTACTCCTTTTCCAACGAAATTTATTGCAAGAAAAATACAAAACACGTGACGTTTTCCAAATGTCATTCTTACTTATTTAATTTAATGTCAGGATATTTAATCATTGACTGAAATATTTAATCAATATTTATACTTGATATTTAATTTTTAAGAAGAAATTTTAATTCGATTTATTTTAATCTGACAGACAATTTGTAATAAGAGATAGGTTTATATTAGGTTCTTGGGGTTAACGACCAGATCAGGTGACAATGTTGAACTTTGGGATATGTGGGACACTTTTCTCATTAGTAATTCAATTAATCGACTATAATAAAAGTCAGCAGATTTTTTCTGTATTTTTTATTCAGCTTTTATTCCCTCCGCGAAGAGATATATAAATCTGAATTGTTGAAGAGGAATAAGCTGAATTTGCTGAAAGTATTATCGCAGTTTGAAATCACAGGTGTCATCATCGACAGTGGAATGTCGTTGGATGGGTGAGTAATTGGCCCGACGTGGAGCAATCAAGAGCTATTGAAACGTCTCGGAGCTACCACTCCAATCAACCCTCCAGGATCCTTCCAAATTCATTTCTAACCTTGGTGATACCACAGCTTGCCCTTCAAGGCAAACTCCATCTACTGCACCCTGAGACTACCCTCACGATTGGTTATTTTCATACTCGCATTATGGTATGATTGCTACCGAGAGAAATATTCGGTAAAAATTACGGAACTTGAGTACATGAATTTTTATTGAATTTTTTTTTTAGTGTTTTATGCCGAATATACCACAACTCTGGGCCCTACCGGGCCTAAGGGTCTGATGTAGAATTTTTGGGGGAGGAATGACTTTTTAACATAAGATCTTAAATTTCCAGTACCAATGGCGGATTTTACATGTATTTGTTTCCTCTATATTAATAGAAGAATGAAAAAATGTGAAAATCATTTTTTTACCACTGGCCCAGGGGTCTGATCTATGATTTTTGGGGGAATAAAGTAATTTGTTTATAAAGTTCATCGTTTACATCGTAGATAAATAAACAAATTCCTCCGAGACGGAATAAATGTAACAACAAAAAATCCCGCGAAATTTCATATGAATTAGGCAATTTTTCTTTTGAAAAATGGAGATATGAATTCGATAAAAATCGAATTGTAATCAGACATTTCAATTTGTAATCATTTCCTGACAATATCCCGTACAATGTCAACCATTCGACCCTACGATAAACAGAGAAATCAGTTGTGATTCAATATAATCCACTTGATAATCCAGCCCTTGAATCATCCCAATAAAGGATTACCTTTCGATCGTTTCGATCTTTTCGATCCTTTCGATCCTTTCGATACCTTCAATCAATTATATTTTCCCAGTATATCAGGCACGAATGGCGTTTTTCCATAGTTGGGTGATACGATTCAATAGCTCTTACTTCGTATCCGAGTTCACATCCCCAGAGGGCGAATGAATTTCAATTTGAATAAAATTTTGAATGAAAAAGAATGAGATCGGTGAAATGGAGAATTATGGGATGAAGTTGCGGACGCAAAATATTATTTACTTTTTCAATCATTCAGACGGAATTTGATCGTCGTTATAACAAAGGGAGATGAATAAATCCTGTAATGGCTGATGGTTAATTGGATGGAGTGGGTGCACGGGGTATAACTGCAAATGAGAGGTCGTAGAGGAAAAAAAATCACTCCACCGTAACCCCGCAGCATAAAATCCAATGGCAGAACTTCAGAGAGAAATTTGTGGCCTCCTGAGGGGACTGAATTCAGTCTTTGTTCTATCAAAATGTAGAGGGGATATTTTCATCATAAAAGATAAATCAAGAACATACGAATGTATCTAGAATTTCGGGACAATTTGCCTCTGACAAAACCATTGATCAACTGATATTTCAATAAACATTCAAATTTTCAATTCGTCCAATTCCAAATTTCCAATTGTTCTGTTATCAATTTCGAATTCCGCGGATATTTTAGGCGAATTTTCATTTTTCGAAATGCTAATCATTTTTGTGTATTGATTCATACTGAGAAAAAAATTATTTCTCTGAAGAAAATTTTATTTTAATAATTGTTTATGTTCACTGAAGATTATTCAAAAATTGTTAATGAGGGAATAAACATTCAGGATTAATATATAGAAAAAAAAAAAGAATATTAATTAATTATTATATTAATTATTCAATAAAAAGTGTATATTAATGAGATATATATATGAATAAATGTAGATATTGTCTTCATAAATGAAATTTAATTCAAAAATAAAATTTTCTTATGCAAAGAATTATTTTCTCAATGCGTGTGATTTTTTTCTTTTTAAAAATTCAAGTAAAATCGTTTTGTTAATGTTAATTTTCCGGAAAAATGATAATGTCAAGAATTTTTAGAGTTCATTGGATCGTCCCGGAAATACGAGCCGTGGATTACAGTAATTCCTCATCACAAATGAAACATTATATGCGGTAATGTGTCACATTACATCTCGTAAAGTGCGTGAAAGGCCTAAGTAAGCAATTGGGACAAAAAATTGTTGAACCACGCCCAGTTTGTCCTGGAGATCTTGAGATCCTCAGCACTTCAACCTCGAAATTGCCAATAAAACGCGGAAGATATATCGGCAAAATGTCTGAATGTCTGGAAAGCCGTGCGTGCATTCGCCGAGTTTAGTTTCTCGTTTAAACTTTCATTTACGATACGTTAGCGAGGAAGCAGGTGGGGATGAGCTGATTTATTTTATTCTCCTTTTTTTTATTTTCAATGTTATCTGGTGAACTCGCACTTTGACCCCTTAATCGGGGGTGAAATAGCAGGGGCTCGGATTACCCCATGTCGCACGCAAACTTCTTCAAATTTCTAGAAAGCCGAACGATTTCGTTTGCTGTTATTTCTAGTAAAGACTAGAATTTCATTCTTTGGACAACCTTTGCTTCTACTTTCCTCTTTATCAACCATTTTTAAACCCTCAATTTGCATGCAATTAATAAAATACAAAATTTCGACGAAATGCCGAATTTTCCAATAAATTATTGACCGGATCCACGCGAAAAAATTTATCTGTCTCGCATTTTATAATTATTTAAAGACTTCCCAAAGATCATTATCTCACGATAATTTTCTTGCGTTTTGTCAAAACTTTTAAAAAATTTTTAGTTTAAAAAAAAACAGAAAAATTATTACACGCTTCATGAAACTTTGCGAGTCATCAAATAATAATAGAATGCAAAAACTGTTTATTTCTGCGGGTCCAGCCGATCAACAAATTGTTCGAAAACTCCAGAAATCATTAATTTCCACTACAAGGACAAAGGGACACAGGGTCCCAAAATTGTTTGACACCACAGAATCTAAATGACTTAATTAATTCAACTATTCACTTAATTAAATTACATTTTTCTTTCATAATTAAATGACTCAGTTTTAAAAAACATCTTTGTTCCAATTAAACGATTACATAATTAGAATAAATTAGATATTATAATCATAATTTAAAGAATGAGTAGTTGTGTAAAAAATTAATTATCATTGTATTTAATGTTGCTATTGTTATATATTCGGATAATTCCCTTTGAGGTAATTTTTTCGGATATTTCGGTGAAATGTCTTTGTGCATCGAATTGAGACATCAATAACCTGACAATATTGATGGGCGCCAATCGAATTGGTGCAGTCATTTCATCGATACAATTTTTCCTCTTCTATTTTCTGTGATCTACATAAAAGTACAATCTATATTCAAGCCTATCTGGCAAAGCTGTTGGGCAACGAAACATTGGAAAACTGTCAGCATTGGGGAAAAATGTGGTACTCCGTGAACTCAGTGAAAAAAAACTATATACATACATATATATATGTGTACATAAAATAGGAAATATCATTTCAATGTGCTAGGTACAATTGTAATGTTTCTGCTTGGAAAATTGAGAAGAAAGAGGTGGAAGTAACTATCGGTGAGGTAAAATCGATTATTGATTCGATTCAAATTACTCAATTGAATTTTTAGAAATGAAAGGAAATTCGCGGTTATCATTATCGGACATTTTCATGCTAATGTCTCAATCAAGGAAAAACCAGGAACACATTTCATTAGCATTTTTATTTTTTCCTCCATATTTAATCTCCTGATAAGCCCGGCATTTTCATCAGGAGGTGCGCAATTGATATCGAAATTAATTGCTTGTTCCACTTTCATTATCATCATTGAGATGCAGCTACGGAAAATTGTTGATTTTATAGGAGAAATGTTTTTTTTTCATTACGAAAAATTGGTAATTGAAATGAAATTGGTGGACTTACGGCCATTCGATGTGACGGAGAAAATTGGAAAACCGAAAAAAAATGTTTTCTCTTTGAGGATCTATGAAGAGGGGGAAATGGGAGGTCCTCTGGAAATTGATAGAATACGATTGAAACATTGAAATAAACGAAACTGCAGACTGACGATTTAATCAAATGATTTTTCGGTTCTAAAATTGGGAAAAATTCAATCAAATCTAATTGGCTAATTCGATTTTTTCTTATTTTCCTATTTTGCCGAACTCAAGTCTGAAAAACGTGCGATTTTTATTTCGATCTGAAGTTTTGTTTATCCCAGATTTCAGAATATCTTTGTATCAAATCTGTTTTTTAAATTAAAAATTCCCCATCATTCCGTAAATTTCTTAATAATCATTAAACTCATTAAAATCCTAAAACAAAATGATCTCGAATAAATCTGTGGAGCCTCGACCGTATATCAACTCTCCAAAACGAAAATCCGCAAAAACTCTCATGTAACATTTATTTCCAATCGCAAAATAGTTTCTTTAATTTCCAAAAATTTACCGTCATTTTAAATGACCCTGAAAGAATCGAAAATTAAAAAAAAGTTCGTCATGTCAAGTCACGAAAAATAAATATCTTATGGAGTGAAAAAATCATCAAAATGTCAAATACAACATAAAAATATTAAATATAAAATTCCAAAGTCGATTAAATTTTTCAGAGAAAGCAAAATAAATCATTTGATTACCGCTAATGACAATAAACCCTGACCGATATAATCAATGGTAATTCGTTCTGGCAATGATACTGTCTATGAGCAAGTAAATCATTAGAGGTCGAGTGCAGCATTAGATAGAGTTTGATCGAGCTGTTCAATGAGTGAATACACATGCGTATTCCCCATTGAGTGTTATGGGTTGGCAGGAGAATACAGCGACAATCGTGGTAGTCCAACCGATGTATCAACCCATCATGCAGAAATGGAATGACGACGCAATGCGCATTACTCTAGTTATTGGGTAGAGATTGATCTCTATCATTTACCTGTGTCCATTCTCTTCACTAATTGCTATTACTGCCATTGATCCTCTGAAATCATTTCGACAAATGATACATCGTCCTGCATTTTTCATCATCTGAGTCAAAGCGAGAAAATTAGTTTTCAAATTTTTTTTAAATTAACTTTTTCACTTTACATCTTTGGATTTAACAAATTATCTATTATCTATTATTATTGTTATTATTATTATAATATATATATGTATATTATATATATATGTATATTATATATATATGTATATTATATATTATAGATTATGCCCTCGAAAATCTTCCAAAAAACAAAATTATTTCGATTTTTGGGTTTTTTCATTTTCAGTCCTATAATCATTTCATTTTTATCATTGCAGTTACTTTTGTTTTTTTTTTGTTTGGTCTTGTCATACTTCATGTGCGTGAGGAGCTACTTATTCTATTTGAGCTAGGAGAGGGGCTCTCGTTGAGATATTTTTTTTTTCAACTTCGGATTCAGTTGATCCGTCGATTTTGTTTACTGTATTATTCGTTGTGGTTTGACTTTTGAACGATTATACGAGATCCATTATTCGAAATTATTCGACAAGAAAGAGAGATAGAGAGATTGAATATTTGTGTTGAGGAATTGGTTCAGTGGTCTGCGAGATGAGATCAGTCGTTCGTGAGCTGTCCAATGTATAAATTTATTAATTTATTTTTATCTTCATTTTCGTGGGATTTTCCTCGGAAGTTTTTTTTCAGGGGATTTTTGTTCGGAATGACTCCTGAACCATTAATTATTATTACTAGTTAATTATTTATTTAATAGAAAATCAGGGAATTCCTTTCAATCGCGAATGAAATTGTTCTAATAAATTATCACGTCGTAATTATTAAAAATACGACAAAAATCAATAAATTAATTTATAAATTAAAAAACCAATTTCATGAAAAATCGCGGAAAAATGGCGGTCCTGAACCTGTAAATTAAACCCGAGTTTTATCATATGGAATTTTTCCCTAATTTTTCCAGAATTTTTCTCCCCGTGAAAACTCAGCCAAAAATGTTGAATAAAATCTGATATTTGCGTTTCATGTAAATAAATAGAATAGTACAAGATAGATTCGATTATAAAAATTTATAACTGAGGGCTAGAATATTTTTTTCAGTGTATGAGCATTCAGTAGGATTCCAACATCTCTTATCCGCGAAAACCCCGCGATTTGTGCGGATTACATCCAACTTATGTCTATTAGAGTGAAAGCTGCCTCTATCAGATTGAAACGTTAGCCTGTCCCACCATCACTCTTCGTTGTGCACCCGGGACTAGCGATTAATTCAATAAGACCCAACAGTACCATTTATCACCCCCACAGTATTCTGCAATTCAAAACCAAAAGATTACAGTATAATTCAACATGAAAAATCTACCGTCAACCCTTCACAGATTCCACATGTGTTTCTGATGTACAAATGAAAAGAAAAAGCTTCACAGCTGAGTGAAAAAGGAACTGAGGAAAGTGACCCAGTTCGGTGAGAGCATCCCCTTGCAGTGAAAACAATCTTGCAAAACCACCAAAGTAAGAAAACTTGGTGCTATTTATTTTAATCTTCAGGGAACTCCGCAAGGTAATCCTCAGAATAGTACTTTAAAGTCACTTAGTTACAACAAATTATTTTCCAACGAGTCCATGGTGCCAAGCATTAGCTTCTAGCAAAAAAAAAAAAAAATTATCACCAAATGACTGACACAACAAAAACGAAATTCTATGGAAACGAACGCGAAGAAGAGAAAGCCTTGACATGTAAAAAAAAAGTCCAGAATTTCACTCAATTGTTATGAGATGAGCATGATCATGATCAATAATCAGTCGCACATCACGAAAAGAAAAAAATCCACAAAAAATTACCCACGATTTCGTAATTCCGCTAATTATGTGACTGTGTAATTTTAATTGGACGTAATTTCGTAGTTAGAATGTGTCCTGTCCCTTTACCCTACGGTTTCCTCCAAAGCGTCATCCTAAATTCCGTCAACGGTCGAGGAAGTGGCGAAACTCGAGTGAGATGTCTCATGCGAGTTATATCAAAGCCACGAAAATTGTTGCAGGCAATTCAACGAGAACTTCAGTAACCCAGACATTTCCTTTGATCCCTGAGGTCTGAGAAGTCACCCACTGAGTAAATTGCAGGGTCACCATCCCACACGCATCCATCCCGCAAAATACAATGGCAATTTCAGCAAAAAGCATCGATAGCAATCGAGCAAACTACCCTATCCCCCCCTATCCCCCCTATCCCCCCGTCATCCACCCACCAAACAGTAATTTTTTCCGCAATACCCACCCACCACCCGGACATCCATTAATTTTGGACTGCACCCGTGAGCCACAGGTACCAACAACAAACTTACCAATCCTCATTTGCTTTCCACCATCCTCAACCTCCGAGTTCTCATCCCCTTTAGCGAAAAACCTTTTAACTACTATGACAACGTCCACAGGTTATCGCTATTCTGATCGTGACAGAGAGAGAAAGAGTTATCTCACTCAAAGAGAATTCCATATATATTTTCTCTCTTTTGCCGGTTTTACTCTGGTCTGCGCCTCTCACTGTTCTCCCTTCAGCACAACCCAAGTATTGATCCGTGTTTCCACCCTCTGCCGCGGGTAGTTACGCCCCTGAGGGGATGGCTCGGCCCAAAACCCCAACCCCACAAAACCAAACTTGTGCGAGGAGGAGAGAACCCACCCTCTCACCCCCTCACAGCTCCCCCTCAAACCTCTTTTGCCCGCTCCCCCGTGTCATATATATATCGTTCTATTTACCCCCATTCCCACCCCCACAACCACCCACCTCTTCCTCCTCTTCCTCTTCCTCCTATTCCACCTCTTCCTCCTCATCCTCCTCTTCCACCTCTTCCACCTCGTCCTCCTCTTCCTCCTCTCCCACCTCTTCCACCTCTTCCACCTCTTCCACCCCTTCCACCTCTTCCACCTCTTCCACCTCTTCCACCTCATCCACCCTTTCCACCCCCTCTCACCTCACTCCATACTTACTTTCACCCCCTTTTCCCATTGCCCTCCCCCTCCGTAAGCCCCACGTAGACGCAATTCATGGATACCAACACCACGCTCTCTCTTCTCTCTCTCTCGTTCGTTAAATGCTTCTTCTCACTCCTGTGGGACGCAAATGTGTATATATTTAAACGAGTACGTGCCTCGAAACCAAATAAATTAATACGTGATGAAGGGGGTGATGGGGGGTGGTGGGGGAGAACGGGGGTAATGCCCATGGCTGACAGGGGATATTTCAAATTTACCAAAATTTCGGATTTGGCGTGGAGAGGGTTCCCGTGTTCGATGAATCAGCCCTTCAGAATTTTTTTTTTTCTTTTCTATTTCATTGATAGATGTGTTATTAGTGCTGTGGGAAAATTCATTTATTTTGTTATTTATGGTTGTTAATTGGAGTTTTATTTATGGGGTGGAATGCCGATGGGCTGTTGTAGATCGATACGACACACGGAGTTCAGAAAAAATTATATTTTGGTAAACATTATAAATTTCTTGAATTAGTAAAAATATAGAGCCTGATATTATAGATTTTTTATATATTTTTTGGGGGGTGGAGAGCGGGTTGTTAATCTAAATTGAATAACAATTTCGGAAATAACGGAAATTACATTTTCATAAATCTAATAAATATTTTGTATGGGCAGAATTTATGGAAAAAAATGGCGCAAATATATACACCGATATTATTTAACATATCTATATAGTTTATATTTTTTTGGGTGGAGGGACAGGCGGTTTTACCTCCACTTGAATTAAATAACCATTTTGGAATAATTATGGAACCGAGATATTTTTTATACTTATTTATGCTATTACATATATCTAGATTATAACATATATATATATTTATATCAAAAAAGATTAATTAGTTATTAGAAATGCGAGTGGTATATTCCCAAGACAATTTGAAATTTCCCCGAAAATTCAATCTTCGGAGAATAAAGATTGAGAGAATCAATTGAGCGAGTTGCAATGATAAATTTAACTTAATGTCTTGGTAACTAGAATTATAATTGCAGCAACAAGAGCTTTTAAATGTACCATGTTTTACGGTGAAGTTAATTTTTTTCTTCTTCGTGGGGTAATCTTTTATTAATAAAGCAAACAGTGAAAGAATGGGATAAGGAGGACATGGTGGTTAATTATTCGGGAGTTTTGACCCTTGGGTCTAGCCCGCATCAAAACCTAGCCACAAGCCTCCGCAGTGCAATAGAAAAAGTTTGAGACTTTCAAAAAACGATACAAAAATCTGTTGTTTCACTTCACCCCATCCTCCCTTATGAACTTTGTCTCGTTACTCCTCTTTTTTTTTTAAGAAAAATGCAGACGTAATTAACTCTTCGTTAGTATTCGTTCCATTCGAAAACTGTGATTTTAGTTGTCTTAATTACTCAATTAATGAATTTATCAACTCCAAAGGTTCACGAGATTCTGAGAATTGAATCAATCAAAAATAAAATTTCTATTGAGCTTTCAATTAATCGGTAACTAATGAGTACGTGAAACTAGAAATTGTGAATGCAATGCAAATTTTGTTGGATAAATAATTTATCCATTAGTGTTGAGCGTTCTTAATGGCATTATTCAAATAGTTTTGTCGGAAAAATTGTGGAAGTAGTAGAACTGGATTTGTTCTGAGCATCGCAGCAGACATTAATTAATGAACAATATGTTGAAATTCTGAAAGCATAATGAAGCTGGTAATGAGTTTCTCGGGGTTTTGGAGAATGAGCGTGACACGTAATTCTGAAAAATTTGTTGCACGTGAACGCTTGAGTATTTTGCGCTGAAAGAGAATATGTTGCCGAATAAAAGTTGAGGTTGGTGAGTTGAAATGAAGAGTTCATGAAGAGACGACAAAAATGGGAGGGCAAAGGGTGAATTCGGGAATGAAATAGGGGAGGGATCTTCCGTTTTACCCTCTGCCAAAACGGATTCATTTCGGATTCAGATCTGTGGACTCTCCTGATGGATTTTTGTTGTGGGTAAAATAGAGTCGTATATTTAAAGCAAATGTGGACACAGAATTTTTTTAATCCTCAGCTCGGGTTGAATACCTCATCACCGCTTTTTATGCCGCTCGTACGTTCATTTCTGAATATATTTGAGTTTTTCTTTCATCGGAATTGGAATCATGAATTCACTCATTGCGTTTGAGTATTTCATTTATCTGTTCCTCACATCTTTTCATTTTTCTCATTTTTCACACGAAAATTTTCGTTTGTATACAATCGAAGGAAATCGTAAAATTTTTTTCTTTTTTTGGTTTATGAAATTCATTGACTTTCAATACAATGGAAATTATTTAAGGATGTACACCATTACCGCCAACAATTCACGTTTCTTTCATTCTTCCGGTGGAAATATAAATATAAATTTTTTTCATGTCGATCCCGTCGATAATTTGCTAGAAGAATTGTTTAAAAATAATTTCTCGCTAAAAGCCGTTGGAAATTCTTTAATTATTAGTTTTTTTTTCAGTTTGTCAATGAAGAAAGGTTTATCTCCATAAACTTCATTTCATGCCACTCTCTTGTTATTAGAAAGTTTTTTTTTCATTTTTCAAATGGTCTTGAATTAATTTTTAATAAGGCAAAAAAAATTTTCTCTGTTCGGACTCATGTACGTCGTAATACAAGTTCTGTACATATGATTAGGTAACTTGGATCTTTAACAGCTAAATGCATATTCCGGTAATTCCCTGAAGCAACATGATGCGTAACCCTATGCAAGACCTTAATATATACCCTCTGCTGCTCAGTAGGAAACTGAAACCACCAACTAACTAGTTATAAAGTGAGAGACTGTCGGTGGTATAACATGGGCGTCAAAATATTGAAACCCAGCGATTAACATGTAACCCATGCCCGCAAAACTTTTATCATTTCAATAAAAGTTAAATGGAAATTTGATTTCAGAGAAATATTTCAAACTTTCCTATTTCCCACTAAAATAAAAGAGTTCATGACCACCAGAGAAAATCAATTTAAACAATTACCCCTTCTATGTATTGATTAATCATCACAGCTCATATTCGCTGATTGTTAATTTAGTTATCAAAAATACGGGAAGTTCTCAGACAGTAATAGTTTTTCTTTTTTGTGAACTAGTGGGAGAAAATTAAATAATTTATCGACTCACGCGATTCTTTGAGGGATCTCACTGAATTTATTCATATTAAATAATAATAAACGCCGGGAACTCCAGTGTTTGTTCTTTTTATGCAATACGAAATATCTTTCAGAATTTCGAGGTAGATATTTCAGCTTTTAGAGAAACTCTTTTATGTCAGGGTACTGTATATATTACAATTGTTTCATTACTTGAATTTATTGAAAGTCAGAATTGTACGAGGATATGATTCAAGGATACAGTTCAGCATACCTAGAGCTGGACTTTCATCTGATCGTGGGACAGCTGACGCCATTTTCGGATGACAGGAAAGAGGGATCATCTTCCTCGATCTCATCATCCTCCATTGTCTTAAGTAATAAACATATTTCCCAAAAACGTAATAATAAAATAAAACCAATAAAGATAATCAAATAAATTCAAAATATCAACAAATAAAATATATGATAATAATATCAGTCGATCCCTGGAAAAATTATTATTATTCTCCGGTGGTGTATTTGAGAGTTAAAAAATTAATTGAATGATGAATGATTTCGTTTGATTGGAAATTAAGCAAATAAATCGTTTCGATTTATAAATGATTTCTGTTTCTTCTGTTTTAATTTCCATCTTTCAGTTCGTCCACTCGAGATCTCTGAACCCTAGCTCCAGGAGTCTCAAGTACCTTTGGAGATCAGTAAGTGGCTTCATTTCGATTAAGAGCGTGACGAGTTCCATTCCTTTTCATTCAATCCATTTCTCCTCGTGTTGTGTTTGTTTTTCCTCATTCCGAAAGAGAAGAAAGAGATTTTAGAGAATCTGAAGGTATTTAGTATGAAGAGGTGAAGAGGTGAGGTACCAACGGAGTATTTCTAGCAGATTGGCTGGTCATTAGGGGCGTAAGAGGAAGTCGTAGAAACACAATGAGGGGTTCGCTTTTCGACAAAATTCTCCATGAGAATTTCGGATTAAATCCTGTCGCTTGAGTCTCGAGTTCCTAGGGCTTCGGGGGTTGTGCTTTCACCCTGGGAATTCCTGGAATTTGCCACTCTGATCGATACTAACTTGGGAGGGAATTCATAAATATTTGGGGACTACCCTTCAATCAACAAGTCGTTTTCACTGAATTATAAATATTACCTTTATACCTTTATACTTGGATAAATAAATAAATGATAAATTATTGTATAAGTCGAATTGTTTAAATGAATACTAAAAAATTAATCTTCAAATTTTAGAAACGATATTTTTGGGATTTTTTTTAAATTAGGGATTAATTGGAAATTGAATCTTTAATTAATTTTTTTGTAAAAATCCAGTTTTCTCGAATTTTCAAGATGCATAAAAAATTTATTGAACGTTTCTGATTGAAATTGAATTCAATCTCAATTAATAAAAAATTCAGATGTAGTTGTACCTGAAATTCCATTTAATTCGACATAAAATAAAATAGAACCATAATTTAACCCAAAATTATTGAAAACTTTTCGCCTCACTATTTTTAATCTCAAAAGAAGTAGATGTTCAATGGAGTTATTTCAAGAGAGTATATCTTGAATGACTGGTGTCTGAAAAGCGTCTACAAGAGTTGAGAGAAATGCAAACACTTGTTTTTACAGCGTGCAATTAAGTAACTAGATAAGTACAGGACCTTTTCTCTTATCAGAATAATCTCCGGAGCGATAATATTATTCAAAGTATCAATGATTGTGACGGGTTCTCTTAAAAAAGAGCCTGGAGTGCTAAAAGAAAAATGAGAAGTCCTCGGTTGGCTTCTCCTAAGCTTTTCCTCGTCCGATAAGGATTATCCGCGAGATTATTTCCCTCTCCTCCACCTGCTCACCGGATGAGAGAGTTCATCTCCCTCTCGTTGCTTCCGGTGTGGTCTTAATTTTCGTTCTACCTTTTTTTTCTGTTCTAAGCGCCAGTAGTAAATGGATAGTCCCTAGAAAAGCTGATACCAAAAAGAAAA